GCCGAAAATGCTTGCAATTGATGATGAAAATGTATTTACCTTAGATTTATCGACTCGGAGCAATAAACGTTAAAATGACTGCTGAGTGACGAAAAAATGTTTTGCTCAGATTCATCTCTTATACTAGATGAGAGTTTCTCTAAATTAAACTTTTGAAATTAACTTAAATAACTTAACATTAATAGGCGTATCGTGACCATCGCATAGATTGTAATTCCGGGAATTTTGAACGTCAAATACAATGAAATAAGATTGGTCTGTCAATTGCCTTACGTACACGTCAGTACCACGCAGTTCACCGAGAATACGCTTCGTATTGTTTGAAAATTTTTTTGGTTAATTTAAAAATATACTTTAATATAAAAGTAAACTTTTGTTTTTTTTTTTTTTTTTTTTTTTGTTCGTGGGTATGGATTTGCAGTTCTTAAAGTTCTTATCGGTTTAGAAGGCTAACAATCGTTCAATAGGATTTTTTTATTTTTTCACGTTCTATAAAGTAAATAATTACACTTCAGATCACTTCAGATCTTTCAGAGGATCCACATAAATGATGCTGGCATAAAGTTTCAGATTCACATTATCTACAAAAAAAATGCAAGTAAAAGGTTTTTCCTTATGAACGTGGATATTGACTCATAATCATCGACTAAACTTTTAATTATCTTCCGAAACCTTCTAATAGCAAACAAGTAGAACAAGATTGGGTGAAAATCGTACGCTGATCAGCAATATTTGCACATATCGCTAAGCCCGCGTAATTCTTGCTTTTAGCGATGAAGTTTTGCTGCATTAGGACTAATGAATACAATAAGCAAATAATGGACGTAACAGGTACTTATCTGAAATTGATTAAAATTGTTTAATTATTTTTTTTTTTTAAATGATTATGAAAATGATTTATCGGCATTAAGAAAAAAAATATAGTACGATCATCTTTCACTGACTGAATCCTGGTTGATTTAATTTCACAACAAATTTCACAGATCAAGTTAAGAAGTATAAACATGATTGCTGACAATAGGGCAAACACTGATATATATAATCTGCGATCTTTACCAAGCTTGAATGCCGTTTCAAGCAATCGGCTAATCGACACGCCCATAATTAATGAAAAACTTTGCGATATTGCCATTTTTTTTTTTTTATATTTGATCAAGAACTATATATGCAAACATTATGATAGGCAAACCGGATGGGATGTAGTAATGATTAGTTTTGTTAAATGATGAGCATGGTAAGCATATCGGGTAGATTTCTGATTCGATTTACCTAAGATTTTATCTTGCTATGCAAATGTAAGAGCGCTCACTATCAGATACGCATAAGGAACTTAATATTATGTGTTTGCATAAATTTTGATCAGCGACTTGTACAAGTAAAAATGATAAAGAAATGCGTTATGCCAGTATACATAACGGTTGCATTTGATGATTTTGAGCATTCCTCTACATAAAATAACAATTTTCCGTTTAATATTACTGACTTATTCAGCGTACGCCGACGCCAGTCATGACCGTTCTAACTTCTTCTTCTTCCAAATTCATTAGTTTTATTGTTAATTTGAAGAAATCTACTGCCGAATTTGCTGCTGGTAGTAATGCTGCTTCATCATATACCAATTGGCAGTTTTAGTTTCAAAGGTTTAACACGAATTGGCTGAAAATGCCGTTTTTTGGTCACTTGTTGCCAGAGATGTCCAAAATACATTGCTGCAACTTGAATGGAAAGTTCGGCCACATCCCCGGTATTCACTAGACTTAGCCCCCTCCTTATTAGCATTTGTTCAAGCTGATGCAGCGGGGGGCCGCAAAGTTGAAGAAGTGCGGTAATGGGTCGGTGGGTGGATCGCTGCCAAATTCCTTCGACATGATATCACCATGTTACCAAACATATTGTAAACAACCAAACATTGTAACAATTTTCGACAATAAATGCCTTTGTCAAGTGAAAAAATGATCAAAATTCTTGCAAACACCTAATAGTTAGACTTTACCTTATTTGTGATATAAAGTATGTGAAGGTTAACCGAATGTGTGTAGCACCTAGAGGTAGTTATAGTCGCATGTTATTATACCGATCGAATCATTTGCTGAATTGATTCAAGCTTGCCTGTCTGTCTGTCTGTCTGTCCACTTGATATTTGTCAATGACAGTAAGAGATGAATTGCGTTAGTGCGGAGTGATATACGATATCTAATCGCTGTTCTTGCCCGATTGTAATCTTTTTACCATTTCTCGGTCAAGTTTTCTCCTACGAACACCACCCAAAGATAACAATTAAATATTTTGGTACAAAGGCATGTACCCTCTGCAAATATTTTCCTCGCAGTGTCTTAAATGTTGCAAACATTGTTTACGCGGTCAAGTCTAAGTTACAAAACTATATATAATTTATTTAGTGTTAAGTAGCAATAACAATGCGATACGTATATCATTTGAGCAATAATTTGTATATATATATATATATATATATGTATATATGCTAAGAACTTAATTCGGATATTGAAATGGAAAAACGTTTTTGCTATATACTGTGAAGATGTGGCTTTAGTTGTAACATTAATAGCCGTATGTACTTGTGTGCACGGAAATGCCAATTTTCGCTTATATATATTGCACTATTACAGGCGTCCCTCGTATAATACGCGAAACCTATAAAACACGCTTTCGATATAAATCGAATGAATATGTATTCCGTTTGATATTTTTCAATTCCTTTCTTAATTTATTTTGGAACCGGCGATCTCCTTCAGGATAACAATTGAAATGCCCCAACTGAAACGTTTGTTGACATCACTTGCTAAATTGCTTTTAATAATTCTTGAATTTCACTTTCATTCTAATCATCTAACTATCCCCCCTTTTAGTTTATTTTATAAGATGATCGAAGAGCATCGAAAATATGCATTGGCTTTTCGCGACATTTTTACGTAGTTATTACATTCATTAACTGCCTCAGACACGGACTGATGACCGATTTAATTAATTAATTTACAGGAAGGAATGATTTTTAATTAAAAATTTCAACATTTTCTTATTCAAAATTTTAAAGAGAATTGCAAAGCTCTTTAGCTTGTCATAGAGAAATGTTGATATAATTGCAAGAACGAAACAGACAGACAGTTAATTGCAGCAGTGGTGAGATAACTAATCTGCGAAAAACAAAGAAAAAACAGATTACCTGTAAGTTTTGATAAGAGTGATGATGGAAATAATTTTGTAATTATAATAAGCTGTTTGCGTTTATAGCAGGTGCGGTAGGGTTTTCATTAAAACCGATAGCTAATGCTTTAAGACTTTATTCGTCTGATTGAATTAGTCATAATAATAATAATAATAATAATATTAATAATAATATTAATATTAATAATAATAAGAATATTTTATTTGTTGTATTTTTAATATTTATACCCGTCACCGTAGACTGGGAGATATATTCGTTTTGTCAAAACGTTTGCAAATGTCTAGAAGTGAACTTCAGAGATCCCATAAGTTATATATATTCTTGATCAACTTGATCATCAAATTCCAAACCGACTTAAGCATGTCCGCCTGTCTCTCTGTCTGTCTGTCTGTCTATCCACCTGTTGTAAATATTCCCCTGGTTGGAGAAATGAAACTCTCACCTACCAAATTCGGCCGAATCATTGGAAATTCTTCTGCGCAGATTGGTATTAAAAGTGCGACAAATCGCTTAAACAGACCCAGTGCACACCAGCGCACTCCATAATCTGAAATCAATCCTGCTTTCAAAAATAAAAACAAATTTGCCTTTTTTATCGCAACGACACAATTTTGCATTCATATTGTATGGACTGACCAACAGTACCGGCCAAGTCCACACAAGTCTATAACTAATCAAATTTTTTTTTTTTTTTTTTTGATTTTCCTGATATTTTCCGCCTATTACTCCTCACAAGGCAAACAAGACAGAATGTCTGTGCATTCCACGCATGAAATATTTTAGTACTCATATATATATAGATAGAACGTGGAGGAGATTTGAAGAGATTTGGAGAGTATGAGAATGCGAGAAGACAAAAATTTTAAAAATATTACGGACATCACGACACGGTATACGATGGATGGATGGATGGATGATGGCGTTGGGTATAAGAGATTCGCTCGCGACCAAATATAATTTTCTTACTTGTTTGTGTTTCATCATAACGTTGCATTTCATATTTGTTTCTTTTTTTAGAAAAACTTGATATTAACTTACTTTTTTATTTGTGTGTATTTGTGTTTGGAAAGAAATTTAAGCTATCATAAAATGCTATACCTAAAGACTTACTTTCGTTATAACACACGTTACACATTGCCTCGGCTTATATTATTTTAAAGTTTTGTATAACGCAGTTGCGAAACAACGTAAATCGAGGTCTCGACACACACACACACACACACACACACACACACACACAATTACGCATTGCCTTGATTTCATTTGAAATTGTATTATTCTATATTACATATTAGTGTAAGTAGGTAACTAAAAAAAAAAAAAAAAAAAAATTATTTCGATACAGGATGATTACACAGTTAACCGTGTTATGCAAAAGATGCCTGTACACAACAGCCTGTAACAACACTTGTCCTCCTCATAAATAGCGTGCATGCGGATGTGAATGCAATGAATTTTGAAATAGTTTCATATCCACCAAGAGTATCCTTTATTTCTGTAAAGATATATACGCATCAAAAAATTCATTTTTGATCAAAGTGCGATTCTATTGGTTTTCTTTGTTTGTTGGTTTTGTTTGTTTGTTGTGTTCTGTCTAACCATTAGAACTTTATCAATTAAATAAATAATTTTAAGGACTAAGATAATGGGTCTAGGCACACTTTTCATCTTGCAATTGTGAATAAAATAAAAGACTAAGAACATATATGCGAGACTCTTTAACACGGTAATCCATCTAATCGATATAACTTTGGATTAGAAACGTTTGATAAACCTTGTTATGAGCTGACCCCGCACACTTTCCATTCGCACTTACCTTCTACGACCTGGACGTTGGGTGTATAGAACGAGTTTACCGCTTGCTTATTTATTTCGTCTTCTCTTCGTTATTCTATAATGCCTTTCGAGGAAGAAACATAAACATCTATTGCTTTTTTTTTTTTTTCGTTTCTTTGATTTTATTTCCTGTTGTTTTTTGTTTTTGTTTTTGTTTTTTTTTTTTTTTTTTTTTAAAATATATAATACCTTAAAAATAGTTTTTTATTAATTCTCTTTCTTCACCTAATATTTCGTGCGTACATGAGAATGGGTTTTTATTATAAAATGTTAAAATTATTCTTATTGATCTTTGCAAAAAATGTAAGTCTTCAGTAAAATACTTTCGCGTTGTTAATGGTTTTGCGGTAAATTGTTGACTGACATGTTTCTTCAGAAATAATTCTCATCAAGCAGTAAAAAATAAAAATAATGAAAAAAAAAAAAACAGTGCATTTAAATTAATTAATGAAAATGTATCGAGTCAAATAACCGCTAATGCAACGTTAACTAGATGTAACGTTTTCTAGACGAGCGACTCAACGCTTCAAGTTATGAATGAATTTCAGTACATGTAACTATTAGTAACTGTTGTTCGACGTCATTGCAAAATATAAGAAAAAGAAAAAGAAAAAAAAAAAAAGAAAAAAAGGAGCACAAGAAAAGCTTATAAGCTTATGAATACAAACACATGCGTGTATCCAAAACTTATGCAAGCTTTACTAACAAACACACAGTACCAATGATGGGAAAAGCTTGACATTCGTAAGCAAAAAAAAGCGATATATGGACTTGGACCTTCATCGGAGGGAGCTTACGTTTAAAGTGTCGCCTTGTAATCGAGTGTACTTTCAAATTTCAGTTTTTCTTTCTCTACGCGCAGCTACGTACTCGCATATCGACTTTTCCGTACACTCCCGATTAATTCGCCTATTCGAATAAAAGTTCATTCACATCGATTATTTGAAAATTTTCAAGATGTTTGCGCTTCTTTTAAAACGTCACGGCTCAGCCACGTCACTTCTCAAAATTGATGATCTATCGTTGAACAAGGTTTGAAGAATGCACGCGTCAAGTGTTTTGTCAAGTGGTGTTTTATTGCAGTGAAATCGAACAAAAAATCGCCCATGAATCCAATACCTATTAAATAATGGTGAAGAGGCTCTAATTGGAATTTGTACGCTTTGTTACAAACATGCCGATGAAATTAATGCACACTTATCCTTCGGTAGAGGCTGATAGCGAGGTAAGACCTATAAGAGCCTGACAAATAGCAAATACTCTGCGACCTTAAGAGCTTTTCTTTCGTGGGTGGAAGAAAGGTCCAATCCTTGAAAAGACTTTCACATAAGAAAAGCATTTCAACCGTTATTCCGCCCCGCCTCCGCCTACTAGGCCCATTTCAAAGAGATCAATTAGCCTACGATTTTGTCGCTTGTCGATATATAATTCTATCGTCGCGGGATCAACCTACTAATTGCGTAATTATTTACCTATTAACCATTTACATAACTATAAGTAAATTGTTTTTGAGTTAAATATATTTTTTAAATGTATTTTTGTATGCAACCGAATGGCAATAAAAAATGTCAATGTCTATGAATGTAAAGTTAGTCAGAGGCACACTGAGATCAATGCACTTTATTATCAGTGTTGTTGGTTTGCAACGAATTACTTTTCATTGAAACCAGTATTTGTAAGTGTTCGATTATAGCTCAATTCTTTAGCCCCCCTGGGTGGTGCGAAAAATCCTTCCGAATATAATTTTGGTTAATTTCGATGACGCAATTTCGATAATCTTCGGTCTTCGCAAATATTAGTAAAAACGCATTAGAGCCGCGAAAGGGCCCACGCCACGTTGCGTACAATTGCAATTGTTCATACAATTGTTCCGTGACGATGCAAAAATACTTTCGATACTTTCGTTTACACATAAAGACACGTAATACTGTAAACAAAAAGTAAGATCAATATTCAAGTTGAATTGCGCGGGTACCTGGAATATCACGAATATTTCTTTTAACAAAATTGGTAGCACTGCGACAGACATCGACATCATAAACATCATGAATATTTCAACTGCACTGGGTTCGACGTAAAATGTTTTTTTTTTTTTCGATTTCGTTGAGCGAAGAAATTGCCAAGATAAACGCTTAATCGCGCCCAAGTATCGTGCAGGAGGTGCAGCCAAAATCGAAAACATTACAGCGAAGCCGCTCAGCAACTAACAAAATGATCTTAACAATTTTCTTCGATTATCGTAGATTATCGTTCCGCACTACAATTCCCTTAGTCCACAACAACATGGAATATTATTTGAATTTCAGGATTACTTTGAAGGCGACGTCATAGTTTTAAAAAAATATATAGATTTATTTAAAAAGTAACAAAAATTAAATTGGTCTTACTTTTTCGATGCAATAGTATATGGTTTAGTGGTCAAGACTACTAGGACTACTATAATTCAAATTTGTTCCGATTAAGCAACAAATCGGATTTCTATTGGGAATCAATTTTCCTCATAAAATATTACGAATTAAACGCTTTTGCCCGGTTATTTAGTAGAGAGTTCAAAATATTCGCCCATCCGATCCATGTTTTTCACATCAATTTAATATACACACATATATCATTACTCATGCATTGCTGATTATTGATCGAGAAAAATATCGGAAAATTGCAAATTTTTCAATAAAATTAATGCTTTACCCAAGACACGTCAGTGCATGTTACACATATATCTGCACAAATCTAATATAACTTGTAAAGTAAACGGTGTAGGATGTAACTCATGCACTGAAGAATTGTGTAGAGAGCCAACTACAAAAGCCTGTTATAACTGTTTCCCATTTATCGATAAATCGGTTTTTCTTATTTTTCTTATTATTATTACGCGTAAGTTTATTTTTTCATTAAATAGGAACACGATTTTAAATGATTTGTAAACGTGTTCCTATATCGTTATCTATGAGACATGACACGTCTCGAAAAGATAGAAATTACTTTGCCTTACAGAAAGTAGAAATTGGGTATAGAGATGTGAGAGAGAAAAAGACAAATGTTCCATCAAAAATAAATTTTAATATGCAAATTTTACAATAAAACAAATAATAATCATTTAAAAAAAAAAAAAAATTATAACAAAAAAAAAAAAAAAAAAGAAGAAAAATCACATGGAATCGAAACTACAAAATGAGACAACATTGGTTAACTCGACATCTTAACGAATCGTCTACGCTATTAGAATCTTTAGTCTGAAAATATATAAAGAATGAGATAACAAATAGTAGGGTAGAGAGAGAGAGAGAGAGAGCAACAAAAGGATAACCGGAGCAATATGATGAACCAATGGTTGATGCATTCAAGTAATTAAAAATTACGAGCAACTCATAAGAAAGCTATGTCTGTCTTGAGCGAACCTCCACCATCCACCACCTCAACACTATATATAACTAAGTGATGTAAACGGGACGGAGACAATTAACACAATCCCCAAACGTTAAGAGATGCATACACTTCTTGAACCGCATCGCATTCCTTATAAATGATATTAAAACTTTGACTCGCATTCGCATATCTATTTAGAGACTCCTCCTCACATTATTAAGCCCTTTGATTAATTCCCTTTGATATGAAAGTACAAAGTATGAAATCGCATTTAACTGAAGTTTAAAAATCATTATGTGTAATATCTTTTCCTAAGAAATTTTGGCAAGGACACACACTTGAAAAACTTGCCTAAATAGGGAGCTTGTTATCTCTATGACCTTGACCTTGCAGGAATATGTTTTCCATCGCAGGCGGCAATAATAATTTTGATAATTATTTGGCAATAAGCAAAACTGTATTCGACTTAAACCGAAAGTGTACCCTATATCAGATGATTATGGTATATCGACAAAATGCAACAGCTGCCCTGTTCTTGTCTAAAAGATAGCGCATCCCAAAGCAGGGGAGAGAGCTTCATTTTTTCACTATTGATACAAAAATTCAACTTTTCATTTCATGATTGCTCGCGAACAGCGCTACTGTTCCATTAACTTTTACTTATTTTTGAAATGTATACAACAAAAAAAAAAAAAAAAAAAAAAACTGAAGCAATCCTATGTCGCAGAAAGATATTCTATTCTCTATAATGGACGGAAAACACTTGCTCTGATATAAGAGACTCATCTACATGTTTATTCGGAATCTGCTCTCTCGGTATAACTTGGAAAAGGCGAAGCAGTCGTCGAGTAGGATAACTTTAAATACCTGCCACCCAAATATTTCAATTTACTTTATTTACATTTTATTGCTCATTATGAAATAAATAAAAATAGAAAAATGCTGTCAAGTGCGTAAGCGGGCAATGTTCGATTTTAATTTTATATACTTTATATACTTCTATATACTAATATAGGTCTAAAAGCGCTCAGAAGGCAAAAAAGCAATTATAGCTAAACTAAAACATAACTTTGGCTAAGTGTTTTAGAGACATTGGCCGGTAAGATAATTGCTTAGATAAGTAATAAATCTATCCTATGCACATTAATCTAAGAAGATTGGCCAGATGCAAATCCTTCTTAATATGTTCACGGGGTTCATCTTCTTGCCTCTTGTAAAAGGCACTGCGTGGAGGCTGCTTAATAAATGAAAAATAATGAAATCTATGCGATTGATATTGCAGACTATTGCAGATATTCTCCACTACTTTTACGGTCAGATATGAAAAGCTTAAATAATTTGAATACTAAAGGGATATTATTTGGAAATCAATCAGATGGAAATCGATTTTAATGAACCGATGCTTTAGACGGCTTAAAGTTATCTGAACTTCTCATTGTGTTTCGTCTAGATCCTTTTTATGGTATTATTGCCTCCGACCCGCGAACAAATTTTAGATTAATACAACTCTGAGAATTTGACTTCGGAAGCTAATCGCTACAAAGGATTCTAGTGAATTATTTCTTTTTAAACGTACGCTTTCAGTGCTCCAAATACCGTTTTTACTTGACTATGCCCTACTTTTAATCCTTAATCTTTCGATCGATATGAATAAATGAAAGTATGAATTTATTTAATATTTTGGTGGAAGATATCTAAGTACATTGCGTAAATGTTTAAAGCGCTCAATTTGAGTATGTAAATATAATAAAGCAATTATCTATCAGCGCAAAGCAAAACTAAAGTTAGATAAATATTGCGATAAATAGGATATGAACTGATATATAAAAATAATAATTATATTTAAAACTTAACAACACTAAAAATGTATGTTAATTGGATATGTCAAAGAAATTTTAAGGATTTTACTCTCTTTCCTTTTTTTTTTTTCTTTTTGTTTTTTTTTTTTTTTTTTTTTTTAGTTTCTTGCTATAGTTATTTAATTTAGTTCAGCTTTATTGGCCTTGTTTTTAAATCAAGTCTGAAAGTATTGGTTGTTTTCTATTTTTAAATATTTAATTTGATTTGTTGTTGTTGTCCTAAAATGGTGTGTAATACTTGCGTGTAACAACTGAACAAAAACAAATTAGATTGAGTTTATAATTATTTTACCCATTTGGCAAGGACATCCTTAAAGTAAAAAAAATAAATAAATAAATAAATAAATAAAGATAAGAAAAAAGTAATTAAAGACAAGTAACAACAATTATCTTACTCTGACATCATCCATTTCTGCATCCGATGAGGAGTGTGATAGTCCATGATAAGTTTTGAAGGTGACATCCTTCATAAACGACTTCAAGACACTGGCACTCAGCTGACCAAATTTATAACGGACAACTGGGTCAAAGTCGCCATGAGCTTGGAAAATCTACAACAACGTATTACAAAATATTAACAAATCTTTGCTTAGCTTAAAACTTTAACTCACCGGTATATTGTTGTTATTAAGTTTTGCAGCGGGAAATTGCTTGTGTAGTGGCAACCAACACGACAGTGCTACAATACCCGCCAGCGGTTTTGTGAAAGTTAAAGCCGAATATAAAGCCAACGCACCACCTTGCGAGAAACCGCCTAATACAATACGTGCCGGCGGGATGCCTTTTTCAATTTCATTATCAATCATGCCATGTATAATTTTTGTTGCTGATCTTATGCCCTCTTCATCTTCAGGCCCTGAGATATCTAGACTTTTCAAATCGAACCAAGACGGCATACGAAATCCAGCATTTAATGTAACCGGTTGCGTAGGCGCGGTAGGACAAACTATTTTCATGCACGATGGTCTTATAGATACAATTGCGCTACTCCATCCGTGTCTGAAATCGAAATTAAATGCTATTTTTTTCCGTTGAATCGAAAAGTTTTTTAAACGAATACTTTTCATTTTCTTTCAAATTGAACTCGTCGCAATGTCTGCAACTTCAAATGCAATTACATAAAGCAATGCGCTATTTACTTTGTCAAAATAATTTGAAAGTATAATCATTTAGACATAACTACTAAGAGTTGAATTGTAGAGCTAAGCTTCTTAGGGCCTCTCCTATAGATTCGAAAGCCGGTAACAATTATTTAATATGGTAAAAAAAGAAAATGCATTCTGATAGGACTTGGTCATAGACTTCATTTTTCTACATATCCAGTCATACCCTACACCACCCTGGCTACACACGGGTATACTAAGGAAGTGCTTATGTTTGTAATACGCAGGGCGTAAGATAAACCCATATTCTTTTATACTGAATCCATTTAACGTTGTCTGTCCCTCCGCTTGTTTGACGTCTGTTCATGCTTCTCATTGTTCAACAAATTGAAAGCGTATAATTTGTGTTATCTCATCACGAAAAAACGATAAATTGTACTAGACAAAGCCATATATATAGATTGTGCAATGATAAGGTATTTAATTGCTTGACTATAATGTTTGTACTTGTTTTTTACTTCAGCCATTCAATGGCTTATCGAAAAACCTCGGCTTTGAAAATATAATTAGAGAATTCAAAGAACCGTTAGTTGGGAAAAATGTCGAGGATAACATTCCTGACTCATTGTAAGCTCATGGGAAATATTGACAGGCATACTATTAGACAAGGGAAATAATGTTTTACCTATTCTTAAACAACACACATCTTGGTTACACTTAAAGAGCTGGCAGTGAAAGGAAAAGGAAGGAAAAAAAAAAGTGGAATATTTTTAAATGCAAAAATGGAAACATACCCAGTGTCTCCTAAACCATGCATAAAAATGAACTGAAAGTAAACAAATATTATAACAATAAGAAATCATTTGACATGTATACATATACGTTGAATAACTTACTGTTGATGTGTGCTTGGCCGTAGCCTCGACTATAACTGGTGCAGAGGACATATCCTTAAGATTTTAGCACAGAAAAGTAACCTTTTTTGCTTTCCACAAAACGTCGTTTAAATCAAATAACAATAATAATGATATTAGCCAGTTGCTATAGCTTACAAAGGTACGAGTATCGTTTTATAGTTTAATAGTTCACCGATCGGCTCCTACGACAATCTGCAAGAGTAAGAATCTTAATAATATTTAATATGATTTAAAGTTTGACAAATAACGAACACCAATTCTACGTGACTAAACAACCTTAACAGTTTTATTGACGTATTAAAAAACTTCTATAATAGACTTATGTATCTGTCTAAAGCGTGCGATGTTAAATCAGATGCGGTTTATAAAAATTGTTTTTGCGAAGTTGGAATTTCAAATTAAACAAAAAGACTCTTTTGAAATCTTTAATGTCTGGATTTACATCTTTTCGTTTGTTTAGTTGAACACCATTGGAACCCTACAAAGAAATAAAAATTGAAACACTACACTATAAGGGATTGTGAATCAAAAGTGAACATTATAATGTTAGATTCTTTCACGGATATTTGACTTTGATTGTAAATAACCGCTAGACATTCCAGTACAATCCGTTTCTCCATTGAGTCTTAAAGTTTGTTGGAAAGCGCTTACCAGAAATGGAAACAATTTTCCTCTTTAGAGCATTTAGAGCGTTCCGAAAGTCAAAATGCAAGCAATAATAATAATTATATACCCAAAGTGGACACTTTATGCGCACATGTGAAAAAACGATTATCTCACAATGCAAGTTTTATTTCATCGGTATTTTCACTTCAAATATATTGTAATTACTTTGAGTTATATTTTGCTTTCCGGGCTTCTTGTTAAAAATAGATTTGCTGTTCCTGTTCCCTTAACAATTTCAATATTAAGTTCTAATTTGGAAAGGTAGGTCAAGTTCACAGAGATGATAAACAATGCGATGTACAAACTTGGAGAAAATAAAAAAAAATGTCTGGAACATTTTCGAGACATTCTTCACATAGTTTTAATCTTTCTATGATATCCAATATAATTACGGTTTCAATCTATTAAATAAATTGTCACGTTTCTTATTCGTAGTGCATTTAAACTCATCACAAAAAAAAAAAAAATCAAGTAAATTGAAGACATATGTAATACTCATACACACACGTTTATTGGTTAATTATTGATTTTTGCATTTTCCTCCTTTCAAAATTTTACGTATTATCTTTTTGCTTTTTTCTTGTAATTGATAAAAAATTTCCGCGGGTTCTTGAAATCGCTTTATGCAAGTGATTTAATTGGCAATTAATTAATACATCCGCTTATTACCAAAATTTAATTTATTATTGTTGAAAATTTTTGAGATTATCCTTTAGATTTTTGTCAGCTGAAGCAACTTTTTTACGACCATTCTCACGGGATGTGTTCAATCACACTTTTAAGTTAATCGTTATATTCTTTATGAGAAAATAGCTTTATTCGTTACACATGGACCTCAATCGTTACATTGTACGAAAGTTGCGAATTGCAACAAAACTTCGAGCATTGAGCATGATGATGATTTTTTGCTTCATATATGAACTATCAAAATAAAATTAAAATTATATTTTTAGGTGATCGAACGCGCAGCCTGGTTTGTGTTTTTGTAAAATTTGAAAATTTTTGTGTTTTCTCTTCTCGACAATCAAAACATCGATGCATTTATGAAAACAAAACATCATATAGTTAATATTTTAAGCTCAATGTGAATATTGATTACGTATTTTATAGTTAACTACCTCTCACATCGACGGCAAACATGAACGGCATTTAGTTTTGCATTATGTATGGCTTTCGACATTCGATATTTATTTCAAAAATATTAAGAAAAGGAGCAAATTTGATTATTGTTTGTTTCTAAACAAACAAACAATATGTTACAATTGACAATAAAATCAGACAAAGGCAATTAAAAGCAATTTTATATAAAATTTTTAATGAAATGAAATGAAGTGAAATAGTAAGCATTTTAAATAAAGCAAAAAAAAAAAAACAAATAAAAAATTGCAAGTAATGAATTACATTATGCCGCAAGAGACAGAAAGAGAGAGAGACAGAGTTTATTATATCACTATATAATTAATATAAATGATATAATTATTAATAATTATATTTTGATTGAAAAATCACTTTTCAAGAAAATTTAGACGGAAAAATAGTCTTGCACTGGTGCGCAAATGTAGCCGAGTAGGTAAGAACTGTGAAATAAAAGAAATTTTATATGAAAACATACATTTATTAATAAAATATAAATAAACATTAGTTACTAATTGAATCTTTGGTCTGTTATTTAACGGAATTGAATCCCTTTGGTCTGTTAGTTAACAGAATTGAATCCCTTTGGTCTGTTAAGTTGAGCATTTAACATAGCTGATTGGCGTTACCATTTAAGTTGTTAGTTGGGCATTTAACCATTTAACAGAGCTGCCATTTTTTGACTATTTTTTACAAAGTTCTTGGCGCATTTTCTTTCTCCACTTTTTAACAATTGCTTATAAATCTACACATTTTCTAGATTTTTTCAGTTGCTTTTTTCAGTTTGAACGATAAGGATTTGCTATTGATCCCGGCCACTAGGCTGCGGCCTTCTCTCTATATATTTCCTTTTTTTCACATCTTCTTCTCTTTGACCGTCCCCCTATTACGCGAATAGGTGACATCTCCTGAGTGATGGGTCGTTACATTTACGTAAACAATCTCTACCCATATAATTTTACTTTAAAAAATAAGCGAACTATACGTTTGACTGTTTTGCAGCAAGCACTGGTAAAGTAGAACCGACAATTGATATGTTGTAAGGTTTACGTAATTTTAACAATAGTTCCTCTAGCATGTGTATAAAATACTGCATGATCATTCATCCAAGTAAGCGCTATCTGCCGTTGGATCTTACAAAGCTAAACAACGCTTGCATTTAGAAAATATATCTAAGAGAGTAACAAGTGGTAAATCATGAATTTATGTGCATGAGTTTGAAAGTAGACAGTAGTTAGTTCTGTAGGTGTTTGGAAAAGAACCAAAACTTTCGAGAATTGTCCACGCCCAAAGCATTTTGAAACAAACGGTCTATTTTCTTTTAACCTTGTTATATAGAAAATTCACTTTTAGAGAGGAGAAGGTAAAATTATCAATTCTAAATGGTATACAATTATTCGTTTGCCGGAAGTTTTGGAAAACAGATAAACGCCATCGAATCATTCTTCGTCAAGACAACGCGAGATTTTAAATATTACTTCTAACAACACGCTATTTAACTACAGAAATACTTAACGTTATCGTACAGCTGTGGGCTAATTTGGTAAGTTATTTAGGCAAAAAGAATTCTTAGTAGAAGATATACGTTTACAAACAAAGGCAAGCAATAATAACAACTCTTTTTCTAAAAAAATAAAATATTTCAGAGGACGTTGCACTGGTGTGGAAAATGGAAATCACACAGCATAATACACTAATAGGAAATAGGAATAATCTATAACATTATGGGGCAATTAAAAAATAATTAATCTGACAATATTGCAACAACAAAATCGCAATATCAAAAAAAATTCAACCAATTCAATCAATTAAAGTGTAACACCTTTTCATTTCCACAATTTCTCAACACGAATAAAACGATTGAGAAATTTTTATATTTTTGGACACAAACCCAATCAAAAATGCGACGTGGGAATTGGAATGAAACACTTAGAAATCAATTATGGCAGTACTCTATTTGAGTGGACAATAAGTGAGGACTATCCAAGAAACGTTTTTAGCGAAAATTCGGACGAATAATAAATGAAATCGGCGTAAATTATAAGGTTATCTGTACGTCAGCATTTGCAACCCATATGGCATCAGATAATATTAAAGCGAACACTGAAGCATCCAAAAATTCGGGTACTAAAGTAATTAAAAGCAGCAATAATGTGGTGACAACAAACGCGACAAATACAGTGCAAATGAAACGTGAATTAACTTCAAAGCCCCGGTCCCAACTGAACGGCACCAACTTTATAGCCACAAAATTGTCATCTTTAACTCCTGCCAGAGATTTGACGTTAGGTGGTCGCGGTTCGACTACCGGTGCTAGAAAAGTATTTTTGCCTAATCTAAACGTCGTAAGGAATAAAAATGCGTAAGTTTTTGTCTTTTTCGAAACTCGGAAAAAAAAGGACAAATACAATGTTTGCTCATTTTATAATTTAAAGCAATGTTAAGACTTCAAAAGACACTACAGCGCGCGGACGGGGGCGCGGGAGAGGGTCGGAAAGAGGATCTCTTGCGAATCGCGGCGGTGGGTCTTTTATCCAAACTACTGGCGTCTTTTCTGAAGGCGCAGGTGCAGCTTTTGTACGTAAATCAGGCAATGCGACTGGATATGCACGGGATAACCAAGAAAGTGCTTCGACCCTACGCAAAGCTGCTTTTCCTAAAAATGAGAGTAAATTAGATCTTAAGGCCACCATGGCTAAAGACCAGGATATATTAAAAGCACTTGACGACGACAACAATGGAGGCAGTAGCGAAGAAGAGGACAAGACAGATTTGGATAAGTTCCCCATAAAGCTTAACGAGAGTAAGTTAATAAGAGCGCCGTAAAGGCAGAATAATGGGATGGAGTTAAGTTTGACGCTAGATTTTATTTAGAAATCTTAGGTCGAGTCTTTTATACTCCTACATTTTTATAACTTATTTTTTCATTGACGTACTAATTGTTTACAACCTGATCCTTACACATATTTTTCCTTAATTCCTCCCCACCCGTGAAGGTAAATGGAAATATGTAAAAACCGAAATTAAGCAGGAAAACGATGAAAATCTTAATTTTGATAACAAGCGAAAAGAAGGTAATCTAGCTAGCAACGTCCTAAGCATAGAATGATAGTCTTCTTAAACAATACAGAAAGTTTACAGTTTAATTTTGGAATTTTAGATTCATTAAATGTGGCTGCAAGATTGCAAGCCTTGCATGTGGCTCAACAAGCGCAAAATACTCAAAGCCCTTTATCTAGATATCCACAGAGTCTTGAGGAACTCTTGGCCACCTCGGAAACTCAAATGTTTTTAATGCAAGTATGTATTGACATTAATGTTATTGAATTTAATTTTAAATTTCAAATTAAACCTTATGCTTAAGCTTCCTGATACTTTGCCCCGTGTGGATGAAGACAATGACGTAACAGAACATGATACAGAGTCTGGCTCATCCTCAACAGACATTAATAGCAAAACCTTCCATAAGTCGCATATGTTCAAAAAGTTAGAGGAAGGCCAAGTGGGACGTCTGCTACGGTATAAATCAGGGAAAATTAAACTGGTATTAGGTGAGAGCTTTTTCGACTTAAATATGGGCATGGAAACAGGTTTTCTACAAGATCTTATGTCCATAAGCACCAATAGAGAGGAACGTAGCGGCGACATGATCAATTTAGGTCCAGTTCAGGTCAAACTAACGGCGACACCCGACTGGGAATATTTATTAAAACCAGCGCCAACCGCCAATAAACTATAGCCTTAAGTAGTTCATATTGTGTATTGAGTATATGTGTGTGAAAAGAACAGACCTTTAAATTTTAATTTATATGTATTTTAAAATTTTATAAACTTCTAAAGAAAAATTGTTCGACCTCTTTTTCTAGTTATGGGCTTATTGCTGCACATTATTTTTGCGCAGGCTCAGTACTCACTGGCACATTAAAGCGGCCTCGATACATGTTGCCTTGCAAGTCCAAAGCAAAGTTATAATCAACTGGGTTAGCAAGCGCATGTTCAATGGCTTCATCCAGTTTTTCATGAGTAATAAACGTTTTTGACAATTCCTGGGCGAAGAATTGGTTTAGTAGTTGGAATGATACAATTTACAACTAACCTTTTCCTTTTTAACTAAAGATTCTATGCGTTGCATTTGCTTTTCTTCTCTTTCCTCAGCCAACCGAAGCTTCTCCTGCACGTATGCTTTAGTTGCCTCACGTTCTTTAGCTAAACGTAATTCACGTATTTTACTTATTTCGTGATTCCATTTTTCATTCTCTTGTAGGCAACGATTAAATTCCTCCTCCTCTTCTTTTGGCGTTAAGGCAATGTGATCCGTTGTTGTAGTCTCAGCAATGCGTTGATTTTCTTCACGCAAATATTGACGTATTGAACGCATTTGTGTCCTATAATAATGGCCTAAGATAAGTCTTTTGAAATGTTTTACCGCAATCATGTTAACCTGTAATTATTATGTAGACGCAATAGTTCATTCTTCTCTTCCAAGCTTTGTGGTTTACGTTCTGGTACACGAAACATTTTACTCTTAGCTACGGGCAGCCAGCGAGGCTTGCGTCGCCATCTCACGAATTCCAAGCCACAACTATTACCGACAGTCTTATTCCCCACATTTAAGTATTGAAACAAAATAGGATTATGTAAACGAAGCATTATTATTCTGCTTTAAAATTTTTGTTTTAGCTCATTAATTTCTAAAATATATTAGGTAGAATTTCTCCCTCCTAATTACCAATGCTTAACAGCTGATGGTAATCGATAGTAATCCGATCATCGATGACCGTTTAATAAGCACAAATTAGCGTTGCCAAACTATTTAAATAACGAATATGTTCGAGTACTTCTGTGGGGGACTGTAAGGGGACTGCCATAATGACGCATCATTTTCGTTTTTGGGTTAAAAACTCCCAACTGGTAAGCACAATACGCAGCCGCGTTACCAGAAAATCCAAACAAAAACTTATGATCTTAGAACCAAATATAAAGAAACTAATGCAAATATAAACAACAAATTTATAAAAAAATGACACATTTGTTAATGGCTTAAATTTTATAATACTATCGAGAGCCTTTTTATGTGTTGACAGATCCACAATTTGGAAATTACCATATACGACACTCTAATCGAACAAGTTCATCTTCAAAGTAAATGGTCTTTATTACTTGTTTTTCATTTCTTTCAAAATAATGCATTGTATAAAACGAAATTGAAAATCGCATAACCTAAAAAATGTACATCAGTGTAAGATAAGCATAAATTAGATGAATAATTTTAAAATTTAAAAGAAACGATCATCATTTCATCATCAGTTGAAATATATTAATAAAATTGTTTTTTAGAGAGAGATACATCTAATCAACTTTTCTTATCACTACTGAATAAACAAGCTTGCTTACTTCTATATTAACTTTCTTATTGTTATTTTTTCATAAATTTACTCTTTACATTGATTTCTTTGTTTTTGGCCCTAAGACCATATGTTTTTGTTTGGATTTTCTTGTAAAACAATATGGTAACGTGGCGGCGTATCGTGTTTACCACTTGGGAGTTTTTCACCCGACAATGAAAATGACGCCTCACTGTGTGAGCTCCCTTATGTTCCTGGGGAATAAATTTTATAAATATACTTTTAATGAAATGGGGAATAGATTAGATTTATTCGTCAGACCTGGGAATATAAGCGCAGCCTGGTTGTGTTTTTACCCTTATTGATTCACAGCTTTGTAGAAGAAATTTTCATTAATAACGCGGAAGTAGGAAAAAAGTAGAAAGAATACTTCTGAAACACATATGCAAAGTTTACTTATTTTATAATAATTGGTAAATTATCCATTTCAAATTGTTGAAATTCTCTAATAATTAAATATCATTGGGAAAGATCTTACGGCTCAATAATTTTTTCTTTTGTGTTAAATAATTATAAATTTTGCAAAAACGGAACGGAACGAAAAAATTGTAGGAAAGGAGCCCGACGAACGTACTCCACTAATGGACGGCCACGTCGGTGCCCATGGTACCCATAATGCTTTAAATACTTTGCGTACTGAGACTGAAAATAAGAAACGAAAAAATCGACAAGAACGTAATTGTGATGGGGAGCAAACAGAAGTTGATGGGGTAGGTTGTGAAAAAAGCATGCATGTTTGCATATATATGAATTTATATATTTAAGGCTGTCCTTAATGTACCAAATGTGGTGATACGTCCAAATCGTCAGCGGGGTGATAATAATGATCCCTCGGTTTCTGAAGACCCAGTGAATGAAGTAGATGAGGAGGAGCAGGGTTTGAAATATGGCGCCCAACATGTTATTAAACTTTTCGTACCCGTTTCCCTATGTATGCTTGTAGTAGTGGCCACCATAAATACTATCAGTTTTTATTCAACCAAAGATGTTTATTTGTAAGTTCGATGAATTTTTCATAATGAATGAATTTCTCATATGTAATATTTCCCGCAGGCTATACACACCTTTTCATGAGCTATCAGACGATAAAGGTGAAAAGCTTTGGAATGCTTTGGCCAACTCTTTGATTTTAATGATTTTTGTAGTCATTATGACTATTTTGTTAATTGTTCTGTACAAGAAACGTTGCTACAAAGTCATTCATGGTTGGCTCATATTATCTTCCTTTATGCTTTTGTTTATTTTCAGTTATTTGTTCCTAGAGTGAGTTAACAGCGTTACATCTTTTAAATATAAAAACTGATTATTAAAAAAATAATTTAGGGAATTACTGAGAGCATATAACATACCTATGGATTATCCTACGGCTTTGTTGATTATGTGGAATTTCGGTGTGATGGGAATGATAGCTATACACTGGCAGAGTCCTTTGAAGCTGCAGCAGGGCTACTTGATATTTGTGGCTGCGCTTATGGCATTAGTGTTCATTAAATATTTACCGGAATGGACAACTTGGGCCGTATTGGCAGTTATATCTGTATGGGGTAAATAGTTATGAAGAAACACTCCAAGTGGCGCTGGATAAAAAAATAATACATTTTCTATTGCAGATTTGGTGGCTGTATTATGCCCTAAAGGTCCTTTGCGAATTTTGGTAGAAACTGCGCAGGAGCGTAATGAGCCAATTTTTCCTGCTTTAATTTATTCATGTCAGTGTTTTTTTGACATAAAATATAATTTTTTGCAATGATTGTTGCATTTCAGCTACTATTTTATACACATATTTGGGCGCTCATACGCCAACTGAACGTAATACTGCAACTAACTCTAGTTCAAATACAACCTCACCGCATACCTCTTCATCCTCAGCATCTAGCCTAAGGCCAGGTAACCACAACCAAAGCGTTGCTAATGTGAGCGCTGAAGGTATGCCACTAGTGACATTTAATATGCGCGGAAATGGTATTTAAACTTTTTGTTTCTTAATTTTTAAAAAAAATTTATATTTTGTGAAATTCTGTTTCTGGGATAAAGCTTTTATTATGCGTTGATATCGGGTGTTGGTACAATTTCTCCTTTTTTGTTAATTCGTTATCGTAGCGCGTCCTTCTTTACTTCAAATTATTGTAAACAGTTATCTTTTTCATAATTACAAAGACTTATTTATTTAGAAGCGGCTGGATTCACTGAAGAGTGGTCTACGAATTTGGAGCAACGGATCGCTCGTCGCCAAACAGAGGTTCAGGCAAGTTGTCTGCAGAATCCTAATCGTTCTTCTGAATACCGCACAATCACTACCACAGCGACTGCCACAAATGTCAGCAGCACAGCTGAAGAGCAGGAAGAACGTAACTAGATAAATAATATATAAGAGTTCCTAATAATTTTTCTTTTTTCATTTAAGGTGGAATTAAGCTAGGGTTGGGTGACTTTATATTCTATTCCGTGTTAGTCGGCAAGGCCTCTTCTTATGGTGATTGGACTACAACTATAGCTTGTTTCGTTGCTATTTTAATTGGCCTTTGCCTGACTTTGCTCTTGTTAGCCATATGGCGTAAGGCTCTGCCAGCTCTACCCATCTCCATAACATTTGGTTTGATATTTTGTTTTGCCACCAGCTTCTTAATGAATCCGTTTTTAGAGGAATTATCCGCCAGACAAGTTTTTATTTAATAATTTTTTTAAATCAATATTAATGTATTACTAAGAAAAGCATAATAATGACGTTAGACTAAAGAGGAAACTAAGTTTGGATAAAATTAAAACGACATTTAATTCTCACAATAAACGTTTTACTGAAAATTGCACTGATGTACAAGAACAAGATTATTGGGAAATCTTTTTTTAAAAACTTTTGGATGAATTTGGAATTAACTATCAGGAGGGAAATCTTTCGGCTTGATAATGCATTTATCTTTGAGGCTTATTACCCAGCCTGGCTCAAGACCGAAGAATATTTGACGTGCATCCTTCATTGCGGTAAGTGTCTCATATTCAGGATCTTCTTCAATCTTAGGTAGCTTATAACCGTATTTTTGCGCTAAGACTAAACGGTGTTTGCTAATCTCTTCAGGATTGGCTAAGTAACCTCGATTTTCAGCGGCTGTATAGTAAGCAATAGCATCCTGAGGTGGCATCATCCTTTTAGGTATAGGTTCACCTCTTTCGAACGCCTTTCTAGGATTAATTAACATTTGCAAGCTTTTCAAATCATAAAAAGCAGTGCGTATAACACCACCATTTCGTTCAATTGTGGCTATGACTGATTCTTTTGCATGTTGAACTTCTATGCATATCTTAGACTTAAATTTATCAGCCCCCTCATCTGTTAATTGAAAACCAAACTCCCTAGAAGTTGGACTCAATTTGAACAGACCGGTATTATATAAAGTTGTCAAATCGATTGGCTTAGTAGAATCAATTCGGTTTGTATCCAACATAACTTGTAATTGCAGTAAAGAAATTGGTGGATATTGACGCCTCATGTGATGACCTTTGTAATACGGTTCATAGGGAAACCGTAAGTAGAACGGATTATTACCAGTTTCATAACCAAGGCGCATGTAATTCTGACGTTGGCCAGAACCCTTATTGCCGGCTCCATGTTTATCACCCCCATGTTGCGCACGGCCGCGTTTTGACTGAAAAAGTTCCGAGTTAATTTTGTGCTAAAACGTATACGAAATTTTGCTTACCTTTTTCTTAGAATTCGGGTTCGGTCTCAAATTGCCAAGTTGCACTCTAGGCAAACTGCGTAACATTTTTAAAGCTCGATCGGCTGATTCTCTTAAACTCGCCATTATGTGCTAATATTTGTGTATTGAATTCCTAAACTATAAATAAATAAATAAATAATTATTTAATATTAGTTTTTTTATTACAGAATATACAAACTAAAGTGAATTAACCTTACTTACCTCCGTCGTACATAACATATCAACGACGAGATACAAAATAATATGGAAAAAAATTGTGTAAAATGCAAAAGGTGGCAATACCGTATCGTCATTGTCGTATTGTTTACGTTGTTTAGAGATAGAAGAAATATAAAAGAGATATTATACATAATTGAATATAATTAATCAAAACGAATCTTTGTACAAGCTATTCTGCATAATATTCTCTACACAGAACTTATAAGAAAATGGTTTGCTCAATTTGTGGGAAATTATTGAATAGTGATGATAGTGATGATTGCATTACTACATTTTTGGATGAGCTCAAATTACATTACAATGGTGAGCAGTTTTCGCCAATATATATATATATATGAGAATATATCTAGAATAATAAAACGTTCTTTAGCCATTAAAAAAAAATTGCAGGAAAAAGACTTCGAAATACAGAGACTTAACGAACTCATTGAAAATGTAAATAAAGAAAAATGCTTTGAAAATGTTAACAAGAAAGCTAGGCCGTCGTTTGAAAGTTTGAAGCAGGATTCAGAAGCTGATGCGAGTAACGATATGAGCCTGTCTGAAGAAGAGTCAGTAAACTGCGCCAATTTAAATGTAGCATTGAATAGCGAGCAACTTTTTGAAAACTCATTATTGAGTCCAACACAATCCGAAGTTATTAGTACTCGGACCAAATTAATATCCAAATATAATGAGGAAAATGAATCTCGACGCTGTTTGAAAGATAAAAACACAAAAGTCCCCAGCAGGCAGAATCACGTTTGGTACAGCAAAGCGCAATCTAGTTTCACTGGGAAATCGTGGGCCAGCAAATTTGTAAACCCACCAAAGACATCTCCAAGAAAATTAAACTTGAAGGAAGCAATTGCGCAAAAGGGAGCAGTAGGAAAGTTATCACTGAGCCACAGAAAGATAAAGCCAAATTCGTCCAAACTTAAACAAACCACAATTGAATCTCTCAACGTTAAGAAAAAAAAGTCTGCTCAGGTAAATGTTGAAAACGATAATTTAATCTTTTGATGAGACCCAAAAGAGTTTTTCTCAGGATGTAAATGATGCGTGCGCTGCCGTATACAAATCGCCAAAGATAATGCCTTGCCCCTATGGAAGGTATATTTTAGATTGTATTACAATTTGTTGTGCCATTGTTGTTATTATAAATTCAATTAATGCGTGCATTATAGGGAAGGTCAGCACGTTATCAACATCAATAGCCACAACGATCATAATAAGTCAAAAAATATGTCGTATGCTGTAGATTCGCCAATAAAAGAAATCGTATTTGATTTTTCGCCCACTAAAAAAGCAGATCATCCCGTCAATAGTTCAAATTTATCTAAAAAATCAATCTCCAAACAATTGCAATTCACTCCAGATTGTAATGAAAAGTCCACTGAGAGTGGTGCTTCATCTAACGTGCCTTCGCTGTTTGCCAGCAATAAACCTGACGATACCTGCAGTGTTATTATGTTAACACCTGCTATGCAAGACGTAATATTTATTGATGATGAGAGTACTGATCTCGCAGCTGATATCAATACTTTGGGCTTATTACCAGATCTTTCACAAAACATTACAAATTGCTTAACACCTTTAAGAGAATGTGAAAATAGGAAGTAGGTATTATTAAACACAGAAATTTGTCACAATGGAAGAAACGAATAATTTGCAATGCTCGCAATGCAATGGCGAGACTATTACAAGTGCGCTATGCGTTGCAAAAATTGAATTTGCAGTACGAATACAATAATAATGTTTACTTTAATTATTTTCAGCACACAAAAGTGTCAAAATCGGGAAAAGGCAACTGTTATGCCTATAAAGAAGGAAGTTATGAAATTTCGTCAAGATAAACAAATTTTCAGCGAAGAAGCAAATGTTCCAACAAATCCTATATATTATGATGACGAAGATGAGGATGATGATTTTATGCCTAGACCGATAATGATTAAAAAGGAACCAGATGAGGATTTAAGCTATAAAAAGTCCGGTTTAAAGGAACTTAACGGTGTCGATTGTAAGACCTGTAAACAAGTAAGTTTTTATTGGTAGCCGTTTGAGATCTCATTTTCAAAGTACAGGGATCATGTAGCGCTCATCATATCTTTGTAGCGCAAAGAGATATCTACGGGAGGCTTTTTAAGTTACGTCTATTCTTGATCAATCCGAATAATGCGTTTGTTGGTATCGCAATTAAAACATCAAGACACTTTAAAGCGGAAGGTTTTATATAAATTTCTTTTTCTTCCGTTAACAATTTAATTAAAAAATTGCCTTAATAAGCTCAAATATTCCCTGAAAGATTTAAAATAACTGGGCATTTAAACAATTAATTAAAAACATTTTTTAGTAATAATTGCGTATACATAAATGTGTGTGGGTCTTGTATGCTTCTGTTTGGTGGTTGAAAATTGAAAAGCCTCAATTTCTAAAAGTGATCGAATCGCGTTGCATTCAACTTCAGAGAATGAGCAAAATAGTAGCCTGTCCAAGTCTAATTAATTTCTTCCCCTGCATAAAGTGAACAAACAATTACATCCAATTAGAACAAATGGTGGGAGAGCATATTTTTATTTTTTATTTACAATGTTACCTGACATAACTCATCGAAGAAAATAAAGTATTGTTAAGGCATTGCAAACAATGTAAATGCTACTCAAACTAAAAAAGGGCAGGCGTCGTGAAGAAAACTGATCTGGAACACAGATTATGCTGTCACACGTTGATTTTAGTTAATAAAATAATACAACACGATATAAAGTGTTAAAAACTGTGCTGAAAAAAGATATTAAAATTTGATACACCATAATATTGGGTAGGCGTGATCGACTATTCCTATTTTCGTGCATGTATTTCAGCATAGAAAATACGTTCAAATTTTTGAAGATTTATCTGCTATGGTTTATGTGGAATGACAAAACAAACAATTCCTTATTCCTTCGAAAAAAACAGAGCTGTTCTCAGTTTACGTCTGATTTACGTAAGCTTGTCCTTTCACCGATTTGGCCCATTTTCAATATCAACCTGTGTGTAAGAATTTTCAATGTTTGTGCCAAATTTGAGATCGATAGCTTCATTTTCGCGGCCAAGAGAATTTTTGCAACAGACATTATACAGACGGACAGCCGGACATGCTTAGATCAAAGCAAAATTTGATGCTGATCAAGAATGTACATATATATGTTATAGGGTACCTGGAGCTTGCTTCTGGGCATTGCAATTGTTTTTACAAAATGAAAATACCCGTTATCCTTCGGTGCCAGGTGTAATAATACATATAATATTTATATAATACGTATATACCTATTATATATAACATTAAATTATACTATGTAATATATACATAAGTATATATGTAATATATAATTTAAAATCTATGTATCATTATTACACAAAATTCCACCTTTAACGGCGAGAGGCGAAGGATAGGCTACTTAAGTTTATGGTGTTTTAGTTTGTAACCTATGACAGATATTTGTTTTAGAATCAATGTATGTACGTTCGTTGATGACAATTATATATAAATAATTAATTAAATTAAGGTTTTTCATATTAAATATAATTTGATTTTTTTTTAATTAATAATTTTTCTTTCTAGTATTTAAGGGCCTGCGGCGATCGTTTAACTAATCAAGAAATTAAAAAGTATTTAAGTAAATGTTCAATACATAATCAACCAGTTGTAACTCACAATACGCCTGAAGATTTTTGGAATCCCCACATAATATCGTTTAAGGAAAATGATCCGCGAAATGAAATTTTAATTGATACACGTTTTAAAGACAAGAAACGCCCATTTTAATTCGCTTTTGTAACAATTGAGAAATTAAATTTTGTATGAAATTAAAGCTTGAGTTTTATTTATTTAAGCAAAGAAAAAAAGTACATAAAAAGAGAGTACAAAAGAAAACGTTACATCTAGAAGACTTAATTTATAAATTTCCACGTCTGGCTTGTTCAATTTCAATGGCCGTGAACAAAGATTTAAAGTTACCAGCTCCGAAACCCTAGAATCCGAAAAAAGATAAAAAGCAAATCAAAAAAGAGAAAACAAAATGAAGGTAAACAAATATGCATGATTTCGATTATATTTACATTATGATTGTGACGTTGTATAACTTCCAAAAAAACTGTAGGACGATCTTGCATATTTTTCGTGAATATTTGCAATAGATAGCCATTCTCATCGTAATCTATCAATATATTTAATTCCTTGAGGACTTTCATGTCTTCTTTAATTTTGGTTCGGCTATGCTTTAAGTTTTCAGTAAGAATCTCATAATATGAATCGGGTATGGTTAAAAATTCCATCCCTCTGGCGCGCAAATTCCTTATAGCCGTTATAATATCCTTCGTATTCAATGCAATATGTTGTACGCCAGCTCCACCGTAGTATTCTACATACTCTTGTATTTGCGATTTCTTTTTACCTTTGGCCGGTTCATTTATGGGCATTTTAACCGTCTCTTCATAATTAGCCATTACTATTGAACGCAGAGCCGAGTACTCGGTATGAATTTGGGAATCATCTACCGACCAGAAACGATGAAATTGTAAAATACGTTCGTACCAAGCGGCCACGCTTTCCATTTGCAAATCTGGTTGATTGCCCACAACGTGATCAATAAAATCCAATTTAGCCGGAGGCAGTTTCTCTAATAAAACATCTTTTCCCAATGGCTTAAATCCCGGCAAGAAAGCACCACGATATTTGCTACGATCCACAAAAGTATGAGTAGTATCACCATACTTGAAATTATAAAATAAAAATTAAAAAAAAAAAAAATCATATAAGCACTTTTCTATTTGGTTAACTTATAGAATTTACCGTTTTAATAGTAGCAAAACGGACCGAACCGTATTCATCGCTCTCCTCCCATAATTCACGTAGCACAGTTGCACCACGATCTTTAGACATTTTGAAAATGGCATCAATATCTTCGACCTCAAATGCTACATCCTTAACGCCATCGCCATGCTTCATTAAGTGCTGGCCATGCTCATAATCGTCGGGATTATACGACGATACGAATACAAAGACGATTTTATTTTGTCTAACGGCATGCTTGGCAAATTGGCGATTTCCTGTTTCAAGACCCTGATAACCCAAAGGCTCAAAGCCCATGCGCGTTGTATAATAACTGGCTGCTTGTTTCGCATTACCTACGTAGAAGGTTAAATGATCGAAAGATAGAAATTTACCGGATTTCGGTTTAGCTCCTTTGTCGGTGTACGTAGTCTGTGAATTGAAAAGATAAACAATGTGTATATTTTTCATTTTTCGCAATTCAGATCTTATGGAATAGATCAATAAAGAATTAATTAATTTTTTTTTACTGTTTAGATAAAATTTCCCATCGCTTAATTGGGGACAGGTCATTTCGTTTTAGAAACTTCGAAGATGCCATGCGATTCTCAAATGTCAAATCGTTATCCGTATTCGTATCGTAGTACGCGTATTTACGTGGAACTAAACGTCAAATCACGCTATTTCGTAAATCGCAAAAGCCACATTTATTATTGGAACAGTTTCCTTACAGCTTGAGCAAAAGAGATTGGTTTTTATAATTAATAGAGGAAAGACTATCCAATAAGTTGTTGTCGCAGAATTATCCGTTTTTTTTTTTACCCAAGGTGGCTTTAAATTTATTTTATGACTATCCGCTACTTAGTGAATGCTGTTCTCATATATGATATTTTGAGGTTATGATACGAATAAATATTTTTGTTTTACTCTTTTGTTTTCCTGTTTTGCTCTATGGATCAGATTATATACCGAGAAATTTTGAGTCTGGAATCCGCTTAACTGAGCATCCCTCGCATCCTATCTCTCTTCGTTCGCCCACCAATTATAGGGATTGTCAAGTTAGTAACAACTGGGACAAAAAATTGAATTCTGTCGTCCACGCTATTACACATGCCTAAAATAGCTAAGAACTTGTAATACGGAAATGTTTTTCAGTAACTTGCGGCTCCACAATGAACATTGGAAACATGTTGTGTATGTAATGGCGGTGCCAAACCGCTTGTTAACACCCTGCTTATTAACAAACAACCAACGCAATTGCATGTTACCCAGAGACTGGTGTTTATTTCCATTTCCCATAAATAATTTCTTTAATTTAAGCCTTTGCTCGCTTTCAATCATTTAATATTATTTTTAAATTTTCATTCTTCTTGCATTTCACATATCAACAATCAATCCTGTTGATCAAGCAATTCGACAACATTCAAATTTAACTATCGCAAAGTTTTTTTTTTTTTTTTTTTTTTTTTTTTTTTTTTTTTTTAAATACCAGTTTAACATGGAGGAAAGGTTATCCCTAGGGCTTTCTTAAATTTGTAGCTGCAGTTATTCCGCGAAATCCTTATACGTTTTTGCCTTTCACCTTGTACAAAAAATGAGAGTCAGTATTTGTGTTTAATTTCATTGGTAATATTTTCAAAAAAAAAAAAAGGAATGGCAAGTTCATTGGGAGTGGTGGTGAGGATTTAAAGCTTTAGCTCGCTGATCGCTGATAATGTTGACATATCAATGGCTCATGTAACTTTCAATTGTCTTAATGATTGAAAATGGTTGTATTCCCACTCAATACTTATTCAATAGCGTGATCTCAGGTGATCGGAAAGACTACCGCACTTGATTTAACAAGGATGTTAAAATACGTTAGAGGACAACTGTACCACTACCGTGAACAAAAATTACACTCAACTAATAACAAATGTGAAAACCGAGCACTTCTTGTACGTGAATAAAAATTTCGCTTAATTGCCTTCATTTGTTCTTGTGGGTATGGAAATGTGAAAACATTTCACAGATTTTTCATTTAAATTTTCTAAAGAAATCATTTCAAGCAATAATCAAAGTATTCCGTTCGAAATATTGAGCTTCTTCAAAATAACCCTTTCCCCAATATGCACGCTTTCACAAGACATACCATCTTATTTATTGCACAATTGTGAGTTGGTTTTGAGTTACGTATATATATATATAGATATATATATATATATTTTTTTTTTTTTTTAGTTAATTAACACAGAAAATGTTTAAATTGCCCCTTTCTTTTATTGAAGAGTTAAAGGTTTTGTATTTTCTCTATAACTATACGTTAAGCCGGTCTTAGCTAACCTTTATATAGTTTCGGCGTTAACACACACACACAAAAGAATACTCTTTTTAGAGACAACTTTTGTAATGATACAGATGCCAGAACTTGAGTTAAATAAAAAAAATCCTGTTACTTGGCTACTATGCATGCACACACACACATATATATATATATGTATATATATATATTAATAAAATTTGAATAATTTAAACAAGTATTTTGTTTTTCTCGTTCTTGGCGCATTACATACCTGATGAATATGTATAATAATTAAAATATATTATTATTGGCGTTAATGTAGCGTGGTTACTCTTTAACTGATTGATAAATAAGTAAATAAGAAATTATAATAAAAATTTTATAAATAAAATTGTTGAGATGCAAATAAACTAAAACTAAAATGCAAGAATTTTGAAAAGAAATTACAAAAGACCCAAGCAAATGAGAAATGAAAAGAAAGACATATTGAAGATTCAAAGAGTGAGGTTCATATCTAGATAAATTATCTTCAATTTAATATATATCTATATATATATAGTATTTGATGACTTTAAACATTTTCCGCGCTCTTTACAATTTCGAGCCAGTTTTAAAAAGTCAAGAACCATATACCATTTGTTACATCTATCATTGAAGGTCGCGCTGAATTATGTTAATTTTATCGCTCCTTTTGTTACATATAGAGACTTAGTGGGAAATTTATAGTTAATTTAATTCATATGGGGGCGAGACTGCTGTAAATAGTAATATTAAATATTTCAGATAAATTAAGTCGATAGTTAGAATAGGCTGCAGATTGTTAACTTCCTACTACATTAACATTCCTTTTTCAAATGGAATTTTGTGGAAATTTTCACACTTGATCTATTAATCTGAACCGAGGTAGGAAATGTCAAGCGATTCTGAAAATCCCGATTTCAATCATACTAAATTCTTGCATTTGTTGAATGCATTTGTACTGGTTAAGATCGTACAATCAAACGAGATAGTATGGCATGTTGACGTTACAAAGTTTATATTGCATAACTTTCAAAGTCCCAACAATCGGAGTTGCACTATTGATTTTTCTCTGCCTTTGGAATTGTTCATAGCTGCAAGAAGTTAGGCAGAAACCGCAAGAGATTATATTTGTATATATACGTCGAGACAAAACGCATGAACTCTATAAACGATATTACTATGAATTTTTGTCATTATATAGATTACTGCGGATCTGCGGTCTTGATCCGACGGCTGCGATATGTACACATGTATATGAAGGGGATGGCGTCAATTGCCCGACGGTTTGTGTTAATCGAAATGTTATGAAGCGGCGGCTAATGTCAGATCTCAGTTTCTGTCAATGATTTTACACAATTGCAAATCGTTCGATTTGTCTTATCTGCTCATAGGTATGAAGATAGTGGGCTGTAAGAAGAAATTATTCGAAAAAAGTTGAAAGCCTCCGAATAAACGCGGAGTGTAAAAAGCCCATTATTTTAAAATTCGATTTGCTATTGCGTTCTATATTCCCTTAAAGATCGGGTTAATTCCATCAATTTTTCGTTAGTTTTCGTATAGCAAATCAATTGTGAAATGTTCCGAAATATGTATCGATTTCGTTTGCAATTTCTCTTATAGCTGCAGATGCTTTTAGAGAAAAATTTTTCTGGTTCATTGCATTGTATTTTATTGTTTTTGTGATTTCATAACAGCAACGCTCTAATAATTCTTCGCTGTATTATTTTCAGTCTTTTCACTTTTTGTATTAAACATTCCGACATTGGTATCCTCAACTGCATTGAGCAGGAAATTTCAGAGAATTATTTCTGCTTTGGATGACTTTGATTTGCTCATTTTCCAAGCTGTGCATACAATGGTAAAAAAAAATTCTAGACAATTATTTGCTTTAGTGCTGAAAACCACCGTGTGCAGGAACGTTACCAAGTGTATGTTTACTGATGTCGAGAATTTAGGAAATGTTTTAGGCAGTAGAAATGAGGAAAACGCTATTAAGTCTTATGTGATATATAGGACTAAAGAAGGATGAATTATTTACACCTGGTCGCGGTTATACGGTTTACATTTCATTTGAATATGAAATTACAATTCAGAAAAAAAAAAAACAAGTTCATTTATTGACTTATTTAATTTTTTTTATACCCATCACCGAAGGATGAGGGGTATATTCATTTTGTTAAAACATTTGTAACGCCCAGAAGGAAGCGTCAGAGACTCCACAAAGTGTATACATTCTTGATCAGCATCACATTCTAAATTGATTTAAGCATGTCCGTCTGTCCGTCTAGGTAATGTGTGTTGTCAGCATTCTCTTGTCTGCAAAAATAAAGCTTCGATTACAAATTTGACATAAACATTGGAAGTTCCTACACGCAGATTGGTATTGGAAGTTCTTACACGCAGATTGGTATCGGTCGAGGGCTCCGTTTTCGAACAGGAATAAAAGTTGGTTTTTTGCTTATTACTCATGAACTATACAAGATAAATATACAAAAATTTGCGCCTATATTTTTTAGGCGACGCTTTGGCATTTGTGTAAAAACATGAAAAAAATCGATCACACACCTATTTAATATTGTGGTGTACCAAATCTTAATTTTTTTTTTGCAATATTTTGAAAAAACAGCCAAAAGCAAGTTTTTAAAGTCCCATAAAGTATATAAATTCTTGGCCAATTTCAAATTTGGAATGCATTTAAGCATGTCCGTCCGTCGGTCTACACCATCTGTCAGTGTGCCCGGCTGCATAGTATCTCTGGTAAATATTTTCCCGTTAGCGAAAATGAAAATATCGCCTACATATTTGCAAGAGAGTTTGAAAGCGCTCTAAACTTTTCAAAGGGCACGCTTACAATGCCTACAGGGCCATACGACAAAAAAATTTCTCCTACTTTTTATTGTGTTTTTTTTTTTTAGGATACCGGTGATGGGTATAAAAGATTCGGTCAAGTTCGAATATAATTTTCTTACTTGTTTTCTTTAAACAAGTACGGTAACGAATGAATATATCCACGAGTCTCCCATTAAGAAATTACTTGCAACTTAAAAAACATTTGCAATGTGCAACGACTTTTTAAGGTACTATTAATTTAAGTTTAGTCTTGGAAGCTTAAAATTAAAAACTGATTGCAGTACTAACGTAGGCTTTTAAAAAGATTCCTTCAAAGTATTCTATGATGTTGAATGAAGCGGAAAAATGTAAAGAGTTTTAACAAGATTTGATAAATTTATTTATAGCCATTGTATACAGTATCAGAATATTCCAGTTACTCGCATCTTAATAGGGCACATAGTAATAAGTTCAGTAAGCAACAGTAAGCGAAAGAAAAAAATATTTATTTAGATTTTTTTCAAATGGTAAACAAACTGATTGCATTATAAAAGATATTAAAATGTAAAAAACCAGTTTAGACCAGGTGTGAAATAACAATAAATAACTAAGACAAAAAGCTTATTATCAAATAGGTGTGGGTGTTGTACCTGGCAATGACCGAATCTCATTATAAATTTAATACTAAGCTGCAGTGTAAGCTTTCTATCAAATTTTGTAAAAACAATTCCTATGCAGAATTGTGGAACAGCTAAGTCAAAAGGGAAGACCTTTCATAACATTCTGGTCCGCTTGTGGTGTAGGGTACACGGAATATTTGCGTATATTTGTAACATCCAGAAGGACTTTAAATGAAGACATCTTTTGTTATATCCGTCGTATTAGAAACATTTCGCGAATCAAGTTAAGCCCTCTGTCCGTCTGTTTTGTGTTGGATGACATCATTTTCATGGCTGTTTCTCTTGAAACGCCTTATTTTGAAAAAATCATTGCACGAAGAAAATGTTCAATTTTCAAAGTCCCCCCACACAACAAACCCGTCTTGTCATTTTTTAAGAAAATATTAGCATTACCTAGATATATAGAAAGAAGAAGGAAACATCAGAGACCCCACAAAGTTTATATGTATATTCTTGACTAGCATCAAATTCTAAATCGAATCAAGTATGTCCGTCTGTCCGTCTGTCCGTCTGTGTAATTTCTGTTGTACAAATTTTCTGGCGACAAAAGTGAACCTGGCGACTTTAGATACGGCAGAAACATTGAAAGTTCTCACACGCAGGTTGGTATTGAAAATAGGCCAAATCGGTCGAAGGACACACCCATAGCATCACGTAAACTGAGAAGATGTCTGTTTTTTAAAGAATGTGAAAAATTGCTTTTTTACTCATTACTCATAAACCATAGCAAATAAATGTATAAAAAAATGACCACGCCTACTCAATATTATAGTCTATAGTCTATTGATACGGATTAAGAATATATAATAGGAAAATAAACAATTTGATATGTGAACAAATTATATTCGAATTTATTTGCTCTTCATTTTTTAACAAATTTCACGTCTGATTAATATTCCAACGCCTTTAAATTAGTGTTCAAATTAATAAAGTCATTACATTAACGACTCTGTTAAAAATTACCACCTGATCAAAGTTTGGCGCAAAGCCAAAAACTTATTCATCAGCATAAGCTTCAACCGTTTGACAATTAAATAAAAAATGTCCAAAAATTTATTAATTCTATTGTTAATTTTGTTGACAACATTGAGACTGACAAATTTATGCAATGTTGTAAAAATATTTGTTGCCGTAAAAAGAGAAACATGTACGAAAATGATGTTCGATTGTCACCGAATCTTTTATATCTACCGCTTCCATTTTAAAGAAAGATTAAACAAAACAAGTAGGAACGTTAGAGTCAATTAAGCCCAATTATTAGATACCCTACTTCATTTTGCCTAATACAGTTATGGTGTATGCATAGCCCACAGAGGAATCCTTATATGCGGTGGGATCGAACAAATAGATATACGTGCTGCAAGTTCGGTAAGGTCTATTTTTATGTCAATTT